AGAGGAATAACAGGAAAAGGAAAGGTGGTCCAAATATCAAGTGGACCAAGGCTAAGAAGGTCAATAAGGAACCAATAATAAAGCCCAAAAAGGAGAGTAGTGTGTAAATTTGAGGTACGTAAGGAGAAGAAGAAGAATAGAGAAGTAGATATAGAGAAACAGGTAAGACCAGGCCTGGCTGAGAAATCAACAGCCAGAGACTAAGAATGGGGCATAGATTACCGTAAGAAAGGAAGCCCAGAGTTGAGAAGGATACCAAAAATTGTCCAAGATGGACATGTCCAACCAAGGGTAAATCTTACTGAAGATCTTTGGGTGTAAGAGGATATTCCATTGATAGAATATAGACTAGCTGAGAGAGATGGTCCACCACAAAGACTGAAGCTTCCCGCAAAGGATGTGAACAGGCTCAGAATTGTATGGTTAACAATTGTATGGTCCTGTAACAGAAGCCACAAGGACAGTCAGGGCAGGAAAAGACCATGGAATAAGCTGAGGGGAACATGGCCAAGTGAACCATCATTAGGGGCAAGAATAGGAACATACCTGGTGATCAGCAAGAAGGATGAACATGTTGATGTGGAGTGAGCTCTTGTCCAGCTAATGTCAGAAGTCCTGTCCTCATCCAAAAATGTATCTTGATCAGGGAGAGATCTGGTTTGAGAGAGGGTAAGGGAATGCAAGAAGTAGTACAAGCAGAGTCTAAACAGAGGCTCACAAAAGAGGACAAAAAACCCCCAAGAAAGAAAAATCTTGGACCACAAAGCCCACTAGAGGAGATACACGAGTGAAATGCCCCAAAGGAACGAGGAAGCCAGAATGCCCAAAAGTAGAAGAGCCTTTCATGCAGGGAGAGAACAAGAAGTGTAAAGCCTGTGACTAGATAAGCCATAGCTCACAGGCAAAGAAGCTAAGCTGAAGTTGGTTGAGAAGAGGAAAGAAAAAGCTCAAAAGTACCCAACATTGAGTGAGTGTGAGAAAGGACTTAGATCCCAAGAATAGCCCCCCCCCAATCAAGTAGCCACTGTAAAAGAAGGTAGTTACAAGAAGAGGAAACCTTTGAAAAGGTGCTAACAGATATAAATAGTCAAAGAAAAGGCATGAATATGGCAAACTAAGGTCCTCACAATACCAACAAATATAAGAGGGGCTGATGCTCAGTGGAAAGGAAGAGCAAGGAATGGAAAGACAAAAAAAAGACAGACAGACAGTACAGAGAAAACAAAGGGAAGTTGGGTTGAGAAAGACATATAAGAAGGTGTCTGACACATCAACCATCACCAACCACAAACTGGGTGAAACAGACCATAGATAGGGTCAGAGGGAGGAGAAAGAGGAAGAAAAGCAGAAGAGGAGTGAGGTGGAGAAACTGAAATTAAAACCAACAGTAGGAGAAGAAAAAAGGTATCCACAGAAACATACATGTGTGATAGTCACTGGCAAAAAGAGTGACAAATGAGAATTCTGGAAGATGGAAGATGAGAAAATAGAAAGAAAAGAACCTGGAATATGGAATGGAGACTGATCTAGATAAGGAATAGGAGCAAAAAACCCAGGAAGATTAGAAAAACAGAAGTCATATAACATCAGACCAGGTCAACAGAAAAGGAGGATGGGAGAAATTCCACTGAAAACATCTGGGTAACAAAAGAGAGCCAGACAAATAAGTACATAAAAAGAAGGAAGGGATATAGTAAAGAGGAATGTAACCCAACTCAATGAGTCCTGAAACTACAGGCACTTTGACGTGGTAAATCAGGAATAAGCTATTAGATTCTGGTTTCCATATAGGATCTGGATGTTTCCCTCCACTACAGGCACTTTGATGTGGTAAATCAGTAATAAGCTATTAGATTCTGGTTTCCATATAGGATGGACTTTACTTCCACTGAAGATTAGTGCACTTTATAAAAATAATATTCATTTAAAATTGACAGACTAACTGTATACTTCTTGTGACATAAATTTACTCCAAATCTAGAATTTGGTCACTGTTTTTGTGATGCATGCAGATGCTGTAACCCTAGAAGTTTGAGAACGTATGCAAGAAGATGTTGTTGCAAGGCTAACCTGCAAGTATAAGGCTGTAAGACGCTACATCAACTACTAGTGCAGACAATGGGATGTGATCACGATGGAATAAAAGTTGCTCAAAAATTAGCTTGATAAAGATGCAAAAGTCTCATCTACACTGTAAATGGTAGAAGTTTGTAGAAACCTAGAGAAACAATGAGAACACGAGTAGTTAATGGACATAGTTTTGATGAACAATAATCTCCCCATGTGATATTTTCATAACAAGTTAAGGTGATTACTTAGGGTATTTGGTATGAAAAATAACACAGAATATACTTGTTACAACATATCATCAATAAGTAATTCAATCCTGAAGCTTGAGATAATATCGTGGAATTATATCACCCATCTGCCTAGTAAGGTAGTATGACCCTCTGCAAGTTCCTCATCTTTGACCCTCTCTAACTTTGTGTAGAAAATGTTTGTAGCTGTAACGTAATAGATTTTGAATTGAACTATGGTAGATGTGACCTACCAAATACCACTGTTTTTAACCATGTAGCAGTTTTTTGTCTCATCATCCAAAACACCTACATTTTCTGCAGTTGAGGGACTTGTACAGTTAAAACCTAAATATATATTTCTAAACAAATAAATAATTTTTTAATTTAAGAACTGTATACCATATGCACTTAATTTCATTGACATTAGATAGAACTGAGTATAAGGTTATGTGGTGTATGTTTATACTTGTTGCATCAAATGCTGTTAGTGCAAAAAGTACAACTGCTTTTTTAAGTATTTAATTGAAATGCATAAAAGCTAATTAAAAAATATGTTGTCTGACCAAAACATTTAAATGTGAAAAAAAGCTATGAAACAGGATCATTCACTTAAACCAGTGGTATCTACAAAATAAAATTATAATAGTATATTAGTAAAAAGGGCATTTTTATGGCATAGTGTGCCTACAAACTTTAAAAGGAGATGAACAATTATTATATGTTCTTTAAAAATTGTACTTTCTTCTGAAGTGAATCATCTTAATTTCCCAGATCTTCAATCTCCTTTTAATTTCTCTTCAGGACATTCAATTCGGAAATAATTAAAAAATACTTTGTTTTCTCTGCATAATCATGTACTGCTTTGAACAGAGAATCAATATCATTCTGAATTTTCTTCTTTTTATTTTTGAGATCCTTCCTCTCTTCAATAAAGCTTTTCCTCCCTTTGTTTGCCAGATGCAGCTGATGCAGTCAGTTGCTTAGAGATATCCATTTGCAAGCCACCACCAACAGGTTAGATGTGATGATGGATAATGCAATGTGCAACTACAGATTCATTGATTGTACGGTTCTCAACTTTAATTTCCTTTTTCACAGAGAACACACACTTGGTTTGACCTCAAGAGAGGAGCAGCAAGTCTTTATTCCATAGAATTATATAGGCATGATCTTTATCAATGTTGTCTAAAACCTGTACATCTGTACAAGAGACAGGCTGTGCTTGTGCAAACAATAGCAGTAATGGACTTGGTGTACTATCTTTGTAGTTTGTCAGCAGCACATCTGTAAAGGAGACAGGCTGTGCTTGTGGAAATAACAGCAGTAATGGACTTGGTGTACTATCTTAGTAGTTTGTCAGCAGCACATCTGTAAAGGAGACAGGCTGTGCTTGTGGAAACAACAGCAGTAATGGACTTGGTGTACTGTCTTAGTAGCTTGTCAGCAGCACATCTGTAAAGGAGACAGGCTGTGATTGTGAAAACAACAGCAGTAATGGACTTGGTATACTATCTTAGTAGTTCGTCACAAACCCCAATGCCTCCCTTCACTTTTCCCTGCATCTGACACAAACTTCAGTACATTTATCATGAAATCCACCAGCCATCCATGTCCACTGCCATCTTCATTGGGTCAAGGCAAGACACGTTTCTCACCAGTAAATACTCTAATGGTCTTTTCTTCAACTACTTTGACGTAGTGTTCTGCAGGAATGTATGACAATCAATACCAAATTCCATCTACCTCTTTTCAATCTTTGATTAAATGCTTTAGATCATCTTGCATTTGAAACTCTGCCTTATTGTAAGGCAAGTAATTTCAATTGTTAGTCAGGACCAGTTTTACTAGTTGAAGCATATTTGATTTCTTCATCATAGGGATTTTTAATAAACTGCTGCATAAAATCCCTGATCATATTGGTAAGATCCTGAAAATTCTGATCTTCTAGTCTGGCACATACAAACAATTATAAGTGTACACTTCCAACCCTCAAACCAAAATTATATTACACAAATATACATATCCCTTTAATTCATACACGCACACACACAGCAACAAATGTATTGAAATTAATGCAATGCAACAATATTATTACATTGGATTTGTCTACAATAGGAGCCCAGTAAAGTTTGACTGCTAGCTCTAAGGTAATAACAAGATTTAAACTTTTACAACATTAATTTAATTTAAACCAGGAGTTTGGGTATTCTACATACTGCACTGTAAAATCCTATTGACAATCTAATTGTTAAAACCCATAAAATACATTAATGAATATACATGAAAACTGAGCTGCCAACAGAATTGTATTCTTCTGTCCATTGTTAAATAAAAACAAAATCCTAGAAGTTGTATTCTGTGTGTATGTTTTGTGGTACAGAGGAGGGGCAAGTAGATTTGTCTAACATTTTGTTCCTTAAACAAGATTTTTTTTTTAAATTCCACACCTTTTTTGTGATACATTTACTCTATACATTTAAGCAAAGTCTTATAAATGTAAATTATTATTTATATTTTTGGGGTTTTTGAATGACAGTAAAACTTCTACTGAGTCTGTAAAGAACAATGTTATTTAAGTTACATTATTAATAAACATTAGCATATACAAACCATTCAAATAAAGTGCAATAAACTCTCTGTATATGGTTACAAGCACTCTAGCTTTAAGTTTGGTCCTTTCTATTCCTATAATGACTTTACCTGTTATAACCATCATCTAACCACTGATAGTCACCACTTTCTTGTAAAAAAGAATCGCTGCCAGATGAGGGACGACTTTGGCTTTTTTCCTGGTCCTTTACTTTGCTACCTGAGCATTCAACTGCCGGTGAATCGGAATGTAGATTTAAATTCCAGTGAGACTGCAGCTGTACAGTGCTGGGTGGAGCTTCTTGATGTTCAGAGCACTCTTCCATACCAACATGGAATCCACCTTTAAATGAAGAAAAAAAAGCATACAAAAATATTTCAAGATATATTTCTCAATGAGATAGGAATGAAAGATTTCTTGATATTAATTAAAATGGGAAGCACACATCAATATGTTAGATCAATTAAATTCTGTAACACCAAGTTCTGTTTAGACTTTTAAATTCAACTGCTGTGACTTGCTTACTGTATTTGGGAAAAGAAGGTGAAAAGTACAGGAACTAAACATGATGGGATTTGCGGGGGAGGGGGGGGGTCTCCGATGGCATGAGATGACATCATAAAATAAACGGTGCTCTGGATACTGTACTTTATAGGAAAAAAGATACTGGGAACCACCACCAGGCTTTTCTCTAGTACCATTGAAACTAATGTCATTTTTGATGGCCTTTTATGTTATTCTTCCCCACAATGCAAGTATCATTACCACCTGCCTTGAACAAGAAATTATTCTGGGAAAAGCAACTGGGTAGTATTTTTTCTATACCTCAGCCACATGGAACATACTTGGGAATATAATCATGGACAGACTTCAATCTATCCCATTCACCAGGTATACTAGAGTAACTGAAAAAGTATTGGAAAGGGAATGGGGGCAAGAGTTTTCAGATCCCTCTCTAGAAACTCAGATTATATACGTGTCACCTTAAAACAGTAACCTTCATTAATTATTAATTAAAATGTAGTTGCAAGATATATGCCACTAACCTTTTGATCCATAATTTATTTTTGAAATGTAATAATAAGCAACAGCAATGCTATATATCACATGCAATGTAAATCTTTAACTAAATATTGTTCTTACTGAAAAATACCATGTTTGTTTCTGAAAAATAAAAAGCTATGACAATAATTTTAGATACTAAAGTAAAAATATATAAAATGGATACAGTCATAAGATGTTTCTCACTGATTTAAAAACACTGTTAAAAGTAAAAGCAATTATTAATCTAGGATTTTTAACACTAAAGCCCAAGTACCAACAAAATGGTCATTTTTGTTAATACCATACCATGGAATCTTACAGTTTATAAAAACATAAACAACAGCTTTAACTTTTGTTTATACAATTTTGAATATTTACTTTGGTGCTGCACCAGCTCATAAAAGTATAGGTGGACTCATCTGTAACATCTCTACATAATGAATACTGAGACTGTTTGGCTTCCATATTTTACAGTATATAGTGTACCTAATACTTTCACACTTCCGTATTTTACAGTATATGGTGTACCTAATACTTTCACACTTCATATTTTACAGTATATGGTGTACCTAATACTTTCACACTTCATATTTTACAGTATATGGTGTACCTAATACTTTCACACTTCATATTTTACAGTATATAGTGTGCCTAATACTTTCACACAATCAAAACATCCAAGTTTATATTGGACCTCTTCTTGTCATAGTAACTTATTATGTGCACAAATAAAACAAAATTCCATAAATAAAAACTTAGACCTTATACAGCCCTTGCTACATGTGTATACCTGTATTATTGTATATGCTTGAAGTTAGCATCAATGTAGTTAATAATACAAAGAATGGTCTGATTTTATCAGAAAATAGTGCATCACATATATATTATGAACTCTTGGATGTTGTAGTTGTACATGTATAATAATATTAGGTACACATGTAAAGTACGCAAATCAAGCCAACCCCAACATGAATAGCTTTATTTTATAAAGGGCAGTATACTTTAATTTATTTTAACCTCTTATAAAAATCAAATTAATTGTTAATTTTTTTACACTTTTGATTTTGGGCTACAAAGGACAAATTAAAAAGATTGTGGAAAAACAAATATCTATTGTTAACTTTGAATTTTTAGGTCTATTTCTAATTTCTAGATAATTTCATTTTGGTATTTAATAAAACTAATACCCAAATATTTGTTCAGGCTTACTAAGATAATATTAGATAAATACTAGAGCTGGATAATTAACTCAATTACCTATGAGTATCAATTCCATTCATTAGTCACATAAAATAATAGATTAATAAACTTGGTTATGATTTCGATTAATGCCAGGAAATAAAATAATTGAGATGAGTGTTTTTGATTATTCCAACTATCCAAGTAATAAAAATACTGCCATTAGGATTTTATTATTATTTTCATTTAACACAAGAAAAGTGTGATAACATATGAAAATAATCAGTTAATCAAAATTAGTGTTTCGAACTATAACTAATATTGATCATTCCAACTATCCAAGTCTAACGTGAGAATGATTATTAGTTAATTATAATTAAATAATCAGTTTGATGTTTAATCAATTCCACTAACTTTCCAGCTTTAGTGAGTATTAATTATTCACCACACAAAAGCAGCAGCACCTGAAATAAGTGATAATAAAGAAAATAAAAAGGTGTATTTATAGTTTCATGATCATGTATGAAGTTTCAAAAATTAAGAGGCTTTGTTCCCTGTATATGTTTTAATGAAAAGTTATGTTGTCGTACATAGCTTGGTACTGGTATGAATTCTTTTTTTTTCTTTATTACATATTTTAACACTTTGTATATCATTTTTTTCAGTTTAAAGCTCTAAACTCCATGCAAATCTTTGGAGAACCAATAAAAATGACCAAGCTTTTCATTTTCCATGTGATATTTGTACATAATATTAACAAATTACAATTAAATTTGATACACATTTTCAATTTACTTCTTTATAAATTTTTTCCTATTTCTAAATTAATTATTCTTTAATATAACAGTTTTGGAATTAATGTGACTGAAAAGTGTGTGAAATTATCTCCTTTCAGTAGTAGTTCACCATGAAAAATTATGTATTTTTATTTAACAAGGTGCATGCACATTGTAAAATACATTTTTTTTTTATCAAAAGTAAATTTGATGAATTCGTAATTGTTACATCTTTTTATGTTTACAAAAGATATCCACAAAATGTGCTGATGAATACAAGTCACAAATGATTTTAAATTTCATTAGGTTAGCGAGTACAGTCAAGTACAGTAGAACCTCAATTAATGGGCAATAAGTCTTGCAATAATGGGCAACTCAGTATTCTGGATTAACTCTTTCAGCACAGGCTCGGTCCCTAGGACCAAGCTAGTAACCACTTTGTGCTTTTTATAGTTTTCATGCTATAACTTTTAAATCAGTAAGCAAATATTAACGAAATTTGGCAGATAACTAAACATTAGAGTGCTTTCATACGCAAAATATAAATTTTTTTTTTATTAAGTCTTAAGGTTTGTAAAGCAATGTTTTTCTCATGTCTTTTTTTCACATCTTGCCTATCTATCATGCAAAGTAATATTCATTTTAATATTAAAAATTCTTTTACGCATCAGAGAATTTTGAAAATTCACATGCAAAATCTTTATAATGTCTAGATGGTTATCAAATG